GGGCTTCAGTGGGGGACCGAGCGTGCTCAGGAGCAGCCGGGTGAGGAGCCGCCATGGGCACGCTCCTCGTGTGCAGCGGGATCACACTAATAAAGACAAGCTTGGTTGCAAGTGGCAGAAACCTAACCCAATCTGACTTAAGTGAAAAAGGGAACTTTCCAGATCAAAGGACTGAGAAGTCCACCGTGGGTCTGGCCCAGGCCTGGTCCTGACGCCAGGATCCTCCATCGTTTGACTCTGCTTTCCTCAGTGCTGGCTTTGTTTCCAGGCAGCGTTTCCCTTGTGGTGGCAAAGTGGCTGCCAGAACCCATAGGCCTACATCCCGCCTTCTTGGTAGTCCAACAGAAAGAGGAGTGTATCTGATTGGACCAGCTTAGGTCACATGCTTTTCTCCAAACCAATGGCCATAGCCAGGGGGATGGCATTCTACTTTGGCCAAGCAAACCCAGGCCACAGACCCACCTCCTGGATCTGGAGGATGGTCCAGTTCTTTGGAAAACGAAGGGAATAAGAATGTTTCCTCAAGGAAAATGGCGCTTTGTCATCAAAACATGGGGAACTCGATGCCGAATGGGCAACAAGTGTATCCGCTGTGGGGACAGAGACCCCATCCCAGGCAGGCAGTGTCTAGCGCAGGGTGAGTGCCGAGACGCGCTGGTCGGGATGAGCAGCGTCATTTGCCAGAGGTGGGGGTTGGGGTCCCTCCACTGCGGTTGGAATCGTGGTCCTTCCTGACCACAGTCAGCCCCCTTCTCTCTGTCCCTCCCAGGTGGTCCTGCCGACCTACGAGGAAGCCCTGTCTCTGCCTTCCAAGTCTCCTGAGGGGGACCCCGCGCCACCCCCGTACTCAGAGGTGTGACCCTCGCCAGGCCCCGGCCCTGATCTGGGCCCAGCTGCCTCATAATCTGCTGCTTTGCTTTGGTGGCCCTGGTGGACCACCAGCCGACTTCAGGACAACTGCTGTGTCCCCTCGCTGGCCTGCTCCCGCTGCGGGCCCCAGGCACTCTCCCTTGGGTCAGGCTGAAGGCCGCAAATCGAGCCCAACAGCTCTGCTTACGTCCACCAGCAAGGAGTCATTTTAGACGACTGGTTGTTCTGAATTTAGTGAGCTTGGCTAAACCACTAGCAGCTCCATCAGTCTAACCCAGCAGCTGTCAGACAGAAGCACATCGGTCAGGTCAACGAAATAAATTGGTCAAACCACAGTCCATTGCGTGGGTGCGTAAAGGGTGGTCATTTATAGGACGGGTCTGTGACCATCCCCAGTGAGGCCCCCGCCTCCCCCCATCTCTGTAAAATCAGTTTCTTCACACAGTTTGCTTAAACCATCAAGCAGCAGCCTAGCTGTCACTCAAAGTCGTGATAGACAGAATAAACAGTGATAAAGTTTGATCAGGTCACTCAGTCCAAACTGACCCAAGGTCAGCGGCCCACTCTGGCCAGTGCAGTCCCCCCCGGCGGTGAATGCTCGTTGATTCAGATGAGAATCCCCGCGGTCTCCCCGTCACCCCGAAGCTGTCAGGAAACAGGCGCTCAGGATCACGACTCTCTTGCTGGAGTTGTCGCTACCTGCAGTCAGACGCTGGCCCCTGGCGTCCCTGGGCCCAGCCTGGTCTCATCGCCTCTGGGGTCCCTGGGCCCAGCCTGGTCACATTGCAGTGGATTCCAAGCAAGGGTCACCTTGACCACAGTCCAGCTATCAGGCTGTCCCGCTGCCAGGCTGGTCCCATCCGGGGACCTGTGGTCCTGCAGAATACAGCCCTGAAATTGTCACATCCACCTGCTGAACTTGGGTGGGACGGGCAAACCCTTGAGGGCCCAGACGTTCCGTGGTGGCAGTAGGAGGTTCCCCGGGAGCTGCCCCACACGGAGACACTGCAGAGGCTGCGGCCACACCACGTGCCATCGCTCAGCATGTGACTCCCAAGAGGTTTCACTAGAGCAGCCAGAAGCTCCGCCCTGCCCCTGTGGCTCCTGGCAGGAGGTGTAGGAGGGGCGAGGGACCCCTGCCTCTGTCACTCAGGCACACACGCACACCTATTCCACTGAGTGGCCACGCCCACTGAGTGCCAGGACCCAGCACCAACACTGACCAGGTGAGAGCCCCATGTCTCCAGGTCAGGTGGGGGCTCCACGCACGCAGAGCACCCTCGAGACCAGGGCCTGTCCTGGGGGTGGCTTGCCTCCAGTGACAGACTGCAGGGGACAGATCCATTAGTCACTGTGACAGCCCAGTGTGGACACCACACATGGAAAGTCTGAGTCTCAGGCTCCTGGGGGCCAGAGCAGCCTCCTGAGAAGGCTCCCAGGCCGAAGGGAGAGCGGGCAGCAGGAAGCCAAACTGTCGTAGGCGGTGGCTACGACATGGCTGTGTGTCCCGAGGACCAGGGGATACAGGATCCGCAGGACCTCCCTGCAGGGCCGCTCCGTGGGGCTGCCAGTGTGGAGGGAAGGGGAGGGCAGGGAGGGCTCAAGCATCCTAAAAGAGAACTCACAGGAGGAAGATGTTTGTAAGCAACAGAAACCTTAGTGAACCAAGTCGATGACCCCAGAAGATGGTGCCGAAAGATGGCCACGATGCTTCTTGGCTCTCACCATACGTGACAAGTCCAGGAATTTGGACTTCAGGCATGGCTGGATCCAAGAGTGAAAAATTTCTGCTGTGTCTTCTCTCTCTTGCCTTCCCCCACTGGGGAAGGGTGGGGAAGGACTGCCTCAGAGAGGAGGGGCTATGTGAGCTCAGACCTGTCCCCCATATCACAGGACACCAAAACAGCCTTGAATGTCATGCCCAGGACCATGTCAAGGAGCCAGTCCTGGGATGGGAGCGTCTTTGCAGGGCTTTGACCAAGGAAGTCCCCGGTTGAGATTTGTTTTAGGAAGGAAGTGATGGAAGGCTGGGGCGCATGCGCAGGCTGGGGCCGGCGTCCTGCAGGGTGGCAGAGGTGGGGGTGGGAGGTGTCGCCAGCCCCCAGCTCTCCTCGGATGGTGGGTGGTAGTTTTCTCCAAGGGCCTCCTCTGTTCTCCATCAGATCCCCGAGCAACTGACAAAGTGTGACTCTAAAAGACACAGAGAACCGGGGCTCAGAGCTATCGAGGGACGTTCCAAGGTCACACAGCTGTCAGAGATTAGACTCAAGGCATCTCCCTGCCCCGGTGGAGGCTGTTGGGAGGCTGGACCTCTCTCTCCTCTGTGAGGCTTTTCGCCTCTTAAAGATCCATACGAGAGGCCCCTGCTCCCAGGGAGCACCCACGAGTGGAGATTCCCAGCAGGGGTCTCAGGAAGAGGGGTATTGGCCTTGTCCCCAACCTTGTGTCCTGTTGAAGGGACCAAGGGGCCTTGGCTGTGTGTCCTGAGGACCAGGAGACCCTGGGCTCCCGGATGTGACTGCCCTGTCCTCCCCCACCCCCACTGCTGGCCGGGAGCCCGGGGGCAGGCTGGGCTCTATGGTGGGATTGTGTCCTGTGGCCAGGCAGCTGGGAGGGGGCCGGCGGGGAGCAGGAAATAGCTGGGTTGGGGGAAGTCCGAGGCGCTGGCCAAGCCAAGCGGGCCTGCGATCGCCTGGGCGGCCCCCGAGGGCCCTATCAATGCCCCGCTTGAGGCTCACACAGGGGCCCTTTGACAGGGACCCCCTGAGGGCCTTTTTGAGATGGATGCCCGGAAAGGCGCTGGCCCCAGGAGAGCGGGGCCTCAGGCTGGCGGGGCGTGCGCGGGCCTGGCTGTCTCAGGGAGGGAAGAGAGTGGCCCAGGTTAACCCGGCTGCTGAGCAGAACCGCAGGTTTTTGGGGGGCTCTGGTGATAACAGGAAGGGGCCCATCAGCAAGGGCCTTCAGACCATTGACCTCCCAGTGGCCTCAGTGGCAGGTGCTGTGCGAGGCTCACTCTTGAGGTCCAGGAGTGGACGGCGCTGGCCTGGGACTCGTGGGCCAAGGGCAGCAGGGGTTTGACCCGTCAGCCCACTGGACCTGAGTCCGTCCCTGGGGCCTCTCTGGCCCCTGTCACCCTCCCCGGGGCCCTCCACCTTGCGAGCTCTCACTTCGCTCCCATCCTGGGCTTTGGGCCCTGGGGAAGCCCTGGCGAGTGGGAGTGGCCTCAGGGCCTGCAGGAGCCCTTGGGTGTCACAGGTCACAGGCACAGGTCATGGGCAGTAGGATCCTGGACGACAGGGGACCTCAGAGATGGCAGGATCTCCCTCTGGGTGCAGGCTCCTTCGACCTGTGCCCTCCCCTCTGGACAGCGGTGGCCGCCGGCAGGCGCTCCACCCTGCTCAGCAGAGGTCTTCCTGAAAAGTGAGTTCTGGCCTCCAGTCTTGACCTCTGCCCTCGTGGGCTCCAGAGGACCTGGCTCCCCCTGCACCCCACAGCAGCCTCCTGAGGATGGACGTGAATGTGGCCATCGAAGCCCGCGTGGGCTCCTCCACGGGACCTCCCTCCACCGCCGCCGACCCCCACCAAGTCCAGCTGTCAGCCACGGGACTTGGAGTCTGGGTCTCCAGAGGGTCTTCATTCATTCATGTGCTCATTCGCCTTTTCCAGAAACTTCCTGGATCTGGGCATGCCAGGGACACAGAGGTGACCAAAGCTCCTCCTGTCCTTGTCCCCATGGGTATGGCAAGAGAAAGAGACAAGAGCGATTGCAAGCTGCCTTGATCAGTGCTGGGCTGGGGGACCCGGAGGGGTCCGAGGACACCAGGGACGGGGCACACTGCTGCCTCCAAGCTGCTGGGGAGGTGGTTCCTGAGCTGGGGTGGGGGACAGCAGGTGGAGGCCAGGGGAGGGACTGCAGTGGGGAGGCTGCTCTCTTCTTTGTCTCTCTCTGAATCTTGGAGAGGCCAAAGACAGATGTCCAGTCGGGCCCCTGGCCATGTCCCCCATTCAGTGGATTCATGTTAAGTGTCAATAAGGGGAGGCCACAGGCAGCCGGGGGGGGGGGGGGACATGCCCTTGGGTTCACCTTGGGTCTCGTGGCAGCACAGCCTCTTCCTGGGCGTGAGAGCGGCTCTGGGTCCCGTGTCCTGCTGCTGGCCTGGACGGCTCAGGGCTCACACGCCAGCCCCGCTCTCAGGATCCAGGAGGAGCTTCCCTCATTAGCCACCAAGTGTCCCGACGGGCAGGGACACAGCCTAGACAGAGGCCCGGGGATCTGACTCAGGTAGGGGACCCAGTCTGGGAGCTCCACGGTCACCTGCGATAACTCAAGACCCAGGCCACCAGGCTGTGACCTTGGCAGCCAGGTGGCTGCACCTTCAGAGGTGGGTGGGGCGAAATTCCAGCCTGAGGTGGGGGAAGCCAAGCATCCAGAGCCCCTCAGGTGGGACAGTGGCGAGGACGGGGCTGTGGGAGGTGCTGTGGACTTGGGGTGTGTCCTGGCGGGGCCCCTGTGGAGGCCTCAGGGGGACAGCGTTGACAGGACAGTGTTTCCTAGTGGCCCACAGTCACCTGCTGGGTCAGCACTGCTCCCAGGCTGCAGACTCTGAGGGTCCCCCAGCATTCTGCATGGCTGAGATGGCACCCCAGGGAAGGCGACTCCAAAGCCGTGGGACAGAGGCAAGAGTGACCTCTGGCTGTCTCTGATGTACCCTTCCCACTGCAGCAGCTCTCCTTGTCCTCGCCGCCCACCCTCTAATCCAGTATCCACACGTAGGATGAGGCAGAAGGAATTCTGGCGGTCCCTGATGGCCCGTGCCCTGAAATGACCCTCTCCCCTTGAGTGTGGGTGACGAGACATTGCTCTTATGCTTACATTACACAACGTGGCACGGTTGACTTTGAGAGGGGGATTAGCCTGAGTGGGCCTGACCAAATCCGGTGATTCCCTCCAAATGGACCCGGCTTTTCCTGAATGGGGGGTGGGGGAGATTCAGAGCATGAGAGGGGCCAGCAGGGGTCACCTCACGAGGAGCCTCATTCCTTCAGCCCTTAGCCTGCAGCCAGTAAGAGATGGGGTGGTGGTGGGGGTGCTGAATGCTACAACTTGCAAGGAGCTGAATTCTGCAATCCCCACGTGAGCCTGACCCTGACCAACGGACACCTGAGTCCAGCTCTGTGAGACACTGACCAGAGTGCCTGGCTTTGTGACCACAGGATGCCCTTCTGGCCCACAGGGATGAAGGGAGTACATTGGTGCTGTTTTGAGATGCTGAGGGTGTGGCCATTTGTCACAGCAACATAAAATGAACGTCCCACCTTTTCCCAGTTGGGAGGAAATGTTTTTTCTCCCTCCTTAAACTTCAAGTGGCAGCAACAACCCTGATGGTTGCTGCTTTGGTTGGCGTAGAGCAAGAGTTTGAAAACTGAAGGATGAAGCGGCCTTTGTTTGCAGGTCTTCACGGGCTCTTCTCAGGGGTCAGAAGCTGTGTTTGGGGGCTGGGTGCAGGTCCCCTGGGCTAACAGTTAGGTACCTTGGAAAAGGAAGTCCAGGTGTCGTCAAGGAGAGGAGGTGCTTCTCAGGAGGGAAGAGTTGGCTCCGGGCTGGGCCGTGAGCGTCAGGTCACTGAACCTGGTACACCAGGGGTGTGCTCCTGCGAGGTCCCGGGCCAAGAGGGGCCACACCCTGGGTGGACAACAGATCTGCAGACACAGCGAGGGCTGAGAGAGCAGCTGGCTGTGGAGAGGAGCCTGGGGCCTGTTTTTCTTCTGGAAAACCTTCTCGAAGCGTCAACAGTGCAAGGGGACAAAGGAAGCACGGAGCGGAGGGTAACGTGCAAAGGCAACATGAGGGGATTCTGCTCAGCCTCGGGGTCCTGACGGTCCCCTCTTCCCCACCTGCCCCACCAACAGGGAGCCCCCAACCTGTCCTTGCCCTGGACTCAGGAGGCGGAGCAAGCCTCGGCCTAGCAGCCCTGAGACGGGGACTTGGGTGTGGCGATTGCTGCTCATCAGCAGGTCCCTCGTGGGCAGGGGGGGCGCACCCCTCCCCAGGCTCTCCGAGGACCCCCCAAGTGCAGTGTCAGAGTCGTTCGGAGGGACGTGGGAGGCTCGGGGGATGCACAGCTCCTAGTCCTGTTGGTTGAGGGTCGCCCTCGGGGACATGGGACCCCAGCCACCTTGCTTCCTGTGCTCATGGGAAGTGCCCGCTGCGGCTGTTGGTGTGCTGACCCCAGAGGTGGGCTGCTGGGACGGGGCGCTCAGCTGTCACCTACCGCTGCCAGGGTCTCCTGAGCATGAGGACAGGGCCATTCCCGGGGGAAGCTCCCCAGCCGCCCCAGGCCTGCGGGTTGTCCTGGGGCCCAAGAAGGTGCCTAACACCGGGCAGGGATCTGCCACTCACCCCAGGGAAGCAGGATGCGCGGCTGGGCTCCAATACACTAGTGACCTTTCTGGTCCTTCGGAGTCTGAGGTCGAGGTGCGGCATCTCCCTGAGTCACCGTCTACACAGACGCTGGCGATTCGCCAGGACGCGGGACTTTGAGTCCCCCTAAGGAAGGTCTGACGGGGACACGTCCGTCGAGGAAGGACCGTGCCGAGAGGCTGCAGAGCGCGGCCCTCCTGGAGCACAGGAGGAGGGGTGCAGGGGGGTGGGCACAGGGACTGCAGTGGCCTGAGAAAGGGATCAGGAGGAGCCTGAGGAGCACAGCTAACTCCTTGCTCTCCTGCCAGGCTGGCCTTGAACTCCTGGGATCAAGCCAGCCTCCTGCCTCAGCCTCCCAAGGATGCAGGACTACAGGTGCATGCTGGAGCTCAGTGTGAAAGCCCGTCTGGAGGGGGAACAGGTGACTTCTCACCAGGGCCAGTGACAGAGGCTGTCAGTGCTCCTGCCCCAGGGCATCTGGGAGAGTCGGGTGATCTGTGCTCCTTGTCTGAGGAGGTTAGGGGACACTGCTCTCTCTCATCCATGGGGCTGGAGACAGGGGACTTGAAATGGTGGGACAGGCAGATGGAGGCTACTTTGGAGAGGCCCCTGCAGGGAGACCTCTGCTGCCTGCAGGACTTTGCCTTCAGAAAAAAGCCATGTGACCAGGGACTTGTTTGTTACTGCGGCCTGCCCTCTCCTGATACAGGAAGGCCTTGGAAGGACCGCGAACACTGCCGCGACGGTAGGGGCGTTGCTTTCTCTTGGCCTGCGACATTGGTACAGGGACCCCAGCTTCACAGGCATGAAACAGAAGAGCAGGAAAGGGAGGGGTTTACCTGAAGTCACCAGAGCTGGCATGTGACAGAACAGGGGAGCCAATCCAGCTCTGTCTGGTTCCAAAGCTTTACCCACCTCTCGGGCTCCCTCCAGGTGTGGCTTGCAGAACACAGGGTGACTTTGGAGATTTGTGGACAAAATGTTAAATTGAATTAACTGGAACTCATTGAAATGTGTTTTGGAGTAAACATCTGAGCTCACCTCGACCACTGATTTCAGGGTCATTACTCCTCAGAGGAAAATTAACAACAACAACAACAAGACGACGGGTTGGCTCAGAGCCGCTGAACGATGAAACAGCCGGGACAGTAAAGGTCCACGTGGGCCAGTGCGGACGGTGGGTGACGATGAAGGGGAGCTGCCACGGGAGGTGCCATCGTTTGTCACAGGGTGTGAGATGACCCGGCTCGCTCTGTGGGACAAGAGCCGAGCCTGGAGCAGCGGGAGCCCGGCTGGGGAGTCCTGCGCACTACCCACCGGGCCACACTGCCCCGGCCTCTCGGGCCCCGCGCACACCGAAACTCTGGGGGCAGGAGAGGGACCGCCGAGACCGGGGAGGGGGGCTCCAGCAGGCCCCTCCGTGCCCCCGGTCTATAGCGGACACACTGTTCCCGATTTTGAGTCCCGGGGAAAACGTTTCAGTTTTACAAACACAAATATTGACTTTCTTTCCTCAATGTCCACGCTCAGCTTCCAGGTCCGCCCTCCCGCCCGCCTCCCCTTGAACCCGGCTGTCCCTGCAAGCCTACCTGCCGCATATTTCTGTGGCTCTGCTAATGAGCGGAGAAGCGACAGAGAGGGGCCTGTGCCCCTCCGGGAGCTCACAGAACTGCCATTCAGAGCCCGGCTGAAAGAGCCACTTCATGCGCCAGCTGCCGCCCGCCAGCTCAGCCTGCACCGGGACGCGGCCCTTCGTTGGGAGGGGGCCTTTGGCCAGGAGACTCGGGCTCACGTGCCCCTCGTCCGTCTTCGGCATGGCCCCGGGACAGCACGGTGCCTCCCTTGCCAGGGGTCACCATGGCCGACCCTGATGTGACCCTTGATGGCCGACAGGGCAACGGGGCTGTTCATCATGATTTCCTTCTGCTTCACCAAGGCAGCGCCATGCTGGGTCCCAGGGATGCTGTGGGGAGTGAGGCAGGAAAGAGCCCTGGGGAGGCAGGTGACACGCTGCAACTCAATCTGGGAAAGGGATACACACCATAGGGTGATCTCTGGAGCTCCTGCAGCCCTTCTGGAGAACAGAAGAGGTCAATGTCAACTTGGAGAGGGGAAGGGCCGCAGTGGCCGCTGCTGGCTTTCAGGTTGGGGAGCAGGAAAGGGCAGGGAAAGCTTCCAACATCTGTTTCCTCTAACATGGGCCCAAAGGGGAGCCAGCCTGGGCTGTCAGCTGGGACCGCTCCCAAACTGGCTGGGCGGCTTCGGCTACCCAGCAGACTTCTCTGGGCCTCAGTTTCCCTATCTGACAAACAGGCTAACAGACTCTGCCCTGTGTGTGGACCTCATAGGTTTGTTGGGGAAACAAAGGAGACGGAGGGACAGCGTGAGTGACAAGTGTGGACAGATGGTCACTGTCACTGCTAAACCTGGCAGTCATTTTCCAACCACTATCTGCTTTTCCCTTTGCTGAGGAACAACTTTCAGTGTGAGTGCTCAGGTCCCCAGGGTCTCGGTTCTGTTCCCTGGAAAGAGGGCAGCCCTTGACCCTGTCTCCAACTCCTGTCCTCTCGTTGCTTCCTCTCCTGGTCCTGTTCCCACTGCACGATGACAAGCTGAGGCTCAGAGAGGGTGTTGCCAGCTCCAGGTCACACAGCCAGTCAGCAGAAGGGGCTTTGAACTGGGTCTTTCAGGTGGCCATGCCCGTGTTCTTTCTGCTCCATCCCATCAACTAGAGGATCTGGATGCAAGACAAGGGACCATTCCTGGGTATGTCCCTGTATTTACAATCTGTGCATTAGCTCATTTTTTGATACTACCATGAAATGTCTGAGGCTAAGTTACTTTATAAAGAAAAAAGGTTTACTGAACTCATAGTTCTAGATATCGAGGGGGCCATGTCTGTCAAAGGACTTGCTGGCTGTGTCCCAAGACGTCACATGGTGAGAATGGTGTGTGTGCCTGGTCCCCTGTCTCCCTCCTCTTACACAGCCATAGGATCAACCGTGGGCTCCACCTGATGACCATGTCTAATCCCCATCACTACCCAAGGCCCAACCTCAAAACTCCACAGCTGGACGAGATAGAATGCCTCATGAACCTTTGGGGACGCTCAGACCACACCCCAAACAGCAGGAGGCTTGATCTCCTCCCCCAGCTTTTCCTGGACAGAGGTGAATTCGCGAATTCTCGGATACTCACCAGCTCAGGGACAGGGCAGGAGGCACGGGGAGTGGGTTCAGGGGAGAGGTCACCAAGCTTCACCTGTGGCTGAGAACACAGGCATGGGACCCGGGGACAGCTCCTGCAACTCTTCCCCTCCAATTAACCCTGGGAGGTGGGCACCAATATCCCCCTAGCTTCCAGATGAGGAATCTGTGGCACAGAGAGGTGAAGGAACTTGTCTGTGGTCACACAGCTGCTCTGGGTCTCTCCCCTACCACCTTACACGCTCTAAGAGCACAGGTACCTGCTGGTCGCTATTCTGATCTTGAAAGATTATGGCAGGCAGAGTCAGGGGACAGAATGTGCCTGGCACGTGCAAAGCCAGCTATGTCTTGAGGAGAATCCTGGGACAGCTGGGACAGGCAGGGACAGCGAGGCTGGAGGAGGGAAAGTGCTTCAGGAGGAAATTGGGTTCGAAGTTGCGGGTACAGAAGGGTTTGGGCGTGGGAAGGAGGAGCAGGGCAGGGCTGGGGCGAGGCAAGGGTCCCTGGGTGGCAGCTTCAAGTCATCACGCCCAGCCCCTTCAGGGCCACCCCGCCCACCTGGGATTTCCTGAATTCCAGCTGCGGCTCCGGCTCCGGCTCCGGTTGCTTCTGCAGGCAAAGGAGCCCTTGTGGCTGGGGCGTGCGGGGCCAGGCCTCCTCCTCCGGCACACACACCTCCATTCAGCACGGCCCCGCCCCGGGGACTTGGGGGCTGGGGCTGCTGTCCCCACCTCAGTGGGGTCCGCCCGGCCGGAAGGCTGGGCGGGCAGCGGGGTTGATAAGACGGGGACCTGCTGGCCCCCACCACTGTGCCGGCCGCTGTCCCTGCTGCCACAACCATGAGGGTCGTCTCCGGCACCAGCCTCGTGCTCTGCGGCCTGCTGCTGCTGCTCCAGCCTCCACGGAACCTCGGCCTCACCCCCCAGTCCAGAGGTGAGGGGGACGTGGGATGGGGGACATGGCCAGGGGCCCTGGGGGACAGCCCGGGGCTGGTGGCGAGATGGCAGAGGCTAATGGGACCCAGGATGGGGAGGGGCAGAGAGCCAGGAGTGGCACGAGGTGGGGATGCTGACGAGGGTCAGGGCAGGCTGGCCGTGAGGGACTGCGCTTCAGGGACCCCCGGCTCCCAGGGCCCGCGGACGTCTGGAGCTGCGCCAGGCCCAGGGCGGGGCTCGGGCTCTTTGATGAATACAGATCCGGGACCAAGAGCCCCTTCCCCTTCTCCCAGCCCCACCCCACCCGGCTCCCATGGGACCACGCCCCTGTGAGTTTCAGCTCTGGGCCCCGCGTCCTAGAACGTGAAGGTCTCCCTGTAAAGATGGGGAGACTGAGGCTGGGAGGGGAGGACCTTCCTGAGACCACAGGAGGCAGCCCCAGAGCCACAGGGGCTGAGCGACTGCTGTGTGGTCTGGCCCACTCACTCTCCCTCTCTGGACCTCCATTTGCCCTGGGAGCCGGATGCTGGGGGTCTCTAAGGTTTCAGGGACCTCTGAGGCCAGGCTCCTAGTCCAGGGCCCCGTGGTTGGGGGTTGGCTCTGCCCCACCCAGCTTCCCCCCTTCTTGATTCTGCACCCCCATCTGGAATCCGCGTGTTCTGCAGACGGGGAGGGAGAGTCCTCTGCACCACTGGCCTGATGCAGGCCCCAAGGCGGTGTGCGCTGACCCCATTCTCCCCCTGGGCAGATGAGGACTGAGGCTCAGAGAGGCTGCCACCTGCCCAGGGCCACGGAGTGGCTGAGCGGGGACCTAAAGCCAGGCGCGCCTCACTCCACATCCCTGAAACTCCGGGGAGTCTGGAGGGACGCGGCTCCTTGGGGTTGTCTCGGGCCCCAGCTGGTCAGGCTGCCAAGGTGGCCACCAGGAATGCCTGCTCCCTTCCCGGCCCTGGAGACCTGAGCCAGCAGGTCCACCCGCTGAGGGGAGCCGGGTCTGCTTTGCCCACTCGCTTTGATGCTCAGGTGAAAGGGGCCGGGTGCCGGGGACGTGTTGGCCCACCCTCAGCGCCCCCTGCCCAGAGTTGAGGAATGGCTGCTCCTGCTGTTGGCCACAAGCCAGGGCTGAAAAGGTGCATTTCAAAGGCTGTGAGCACTCAGGTGACGGCCAGCGCAGGCTGGATTCCCGCTGCACCGCGGCTCATCTTTGGAGGCTCCTGTCAGGAAGGGGTGGTCAGCTCCCTGCCCGGGTAAGGAGTGGGGTAGGAGACGGAGTGGATTGCCCAAGGCTGGATGGCTCCTCCGTCCTTCCTTCGGGCTCCGAGGTGGCCTTTGCACGCCACATGCCAGAGCGTCCACACACGGAGGGACAACAGGACCTGGCCAACCCCGAGGCCTCGGGTCCGGATTCTGGCAGCTCCGATGCCCGCCGCTGGGCCTCTGACCTGCGCCCTCTGCCTTCTCCCTCCCCTCCCAGGGCACCTCTGTCGGACGCGGCCCGCGGACCTGGTGTTCCTGGTCGACAGCTCCCGCAGCGTGAGGCCCGTGGAGTTTGAGAAGGTGAAGGTGTTCCTGTCCCAGGTCATCGAGTCCCTGGATGTGGGGCCCAATGCCACCCGGGTGGGCGTGGTCAACTACGCCAGCACCGTCAAGCAGGAGTTCCCGCTGAGGGCCCACAGCTCCAAGGCCGCGCTGCTGCAGGCGGTGCGCCGCATCCAGCCGCTGTCCACAGGCACCATGACTGGCCTGGCCCTCCAGTTCGCCATCACCAAGGCCTTCAGCGACGCGGAGGGCGGTCGCTCCAGGTCCCCCGACATCAGCAAGGTGCGTGCACCTGATCTGCGCAGGGGCTCTCGCTGTCTCTGGCACAAGTGTGGCCTGGAACTGAGGTCCCCAGCCTTCTCCTCTGGGCTAAGGGCTTCCACTTTCACCCACATGACATTCCTTTGAGGGGGTCCCCTCACAGTGGGGGGAACTGAGGGACACGGGAGATCATTAGGCAGAGGTCTCCAGCTGAGCGACAGAGCTGGGGTGGGGACCCACCACTCCCCGGCCTTTCCAGCCCAGCATGGGATCATTTCAGTTCCCATGACCTTGGCCCCAGGCAGTCCGAGCTCCTTGCAGGCACGACAGGGAAGGCGTGGACTCTGCCACCTCCTGCCTGGGTGCCAGCCCACTCCCTGGTGCTATCTGTACCCCCCTGAGCCAGGTACTTCCTCTCATGGGCCCCAGTTTCCTCACTTGTGAAATGGGGGTCATGATGCTGCTCTAAGGACCAAGGCCACAGGCATAAGATGCTCAGGAGACACCTGGCACCCAACCAGCCCCATCGCATCAACTGATTTTTATTTGATAATCCTTTGAGGGAAGGGTCTCAGAAAGGGGAATGCACCCCATGTTGCCATCAGCAAGGGTCCCAGGAGGGTGCTGAGCGTTTCAAGGGCTTTGTACCCAACTGTCATTATTTCAGGGCTCAGCACTGGGCCTGCAGGGTTGGGCCAGGTGTTCTTTCCCTGATGATGTCCCCACAGGCCCCTGCACTTCTCCATTTGCAGCCCTCCTTGGCATGAGTCGTCACTGATCACATGCCCAGGGCTTTCACACCCTCCAGAGACCCCCCTCAGCACAGGTCCGATCCACAGCCCCGCAGGAGTGGGATCCCCATCTCACGGAAGGCAGCCGAGACATGAGCCCTACAGCAGCTCGCCTTGCTCATGAGCGGTGGCAGCCCAGCCCCAGCCACCACCCGCCTTGAGAAACGACACAGCAGCCGCCTGTTGGTCTCATTTTGTGGGGCCACTCACAAGCTCTAAGGAGGTGCTGTAGCTGTGGCTGAGAGTCACGGCTAAGGATGCGGTGGCCCCAGGTGTCCTAATGGAGAGGTGGTGAGGCTGTTGGTGGTGACACCCTGTGGCAGGCACAGCTCCAGAGTTGACTGTTTTCCCCAGGTCAGAGCAGTGGCCTGGGGCAGGCAGGGACCCAAGACAAAGGAGGCTCTGAGCTTGGCTGCAGCTCAAAGGCAGGAGCTGAGATAAACATGGCCCCTTCCTGGCTCCCTAGCCCTGCCACCCCTGTGGGGCAGCAATTCTCACCCTGCCGGACTCCGCAGGGTACCGAGGCCGAGGTCGGGCCAGGGCAGGGGGAGGGGGGGACCCGACCTCTTGGAGCTCCAGCCAGCTCAGCACCACCCTCTTCAGGGTGCGGAACCCAGGAACCTTGGGGAAGCCTGGGTTCTTTTACCCTGGGGGAGGACCACGGACCCTCCTGGGAATGGGGAAGACAGGGGCACCACTTCCTTCCGGATATTGGTTCCTTGGGTGGCTGCGGTCGGGCTCCCTCCCGGATCTCAGGGGTCCACTCCACAGACTGGAGGCAGCAACCCCATTTGTTAGCCTCGGCTGCCCTCCGGTGGCCACAGCGCAGGACCGCACCGTGCTGAGTGCGCTAGCTTGGCCCCCAAAGGGAGCCGCTGGGAATGGCCTGGAGATTCCTTCCACACTGAGACTCTAGTTACAAGGCCCTCATGGAGGGCACCGGGGACATAACCCAGGCTGCGCCCACTCGGGTATGGCTCTCAGCAGTCTGGGGTCTCCACAGCCCCCTGAGGGGGACAGTCCGCAGAGGCTCCACTTTGATGGGAGAGACATGGCCCTACCCTGTCCCACAGAGAAGCCTGGACACTTGAGCCACCTCTCCTGCAGTCAGAGGAGCCTGCCTCCCCTCCAGCCAGCCAGCTTCTCTTTCCCAGACCAAACCCAGGCGGGAGAAGGAGCCCCTGCACCGATAAGCTGTGTGACTCTGGGCCAGTCGCTTTGCTTCTCTGGCCTCCAACTCCTCTTCTGTTAATCCCCACGGCTTCCTGGAGAGCCAAGCCAGGGGAGGGAGGGCTGGTCCTCACATGCCCCCACGTTTCGCAGGTGGTCATCGTGGTGACGGACGGGCGGCCCCAGGACAGCGTGCGCGACGTGTCTGCGAGGGCCCGGGCCAGCGGCATCGAGCTGTTTGCCATTGGCGTGGGCCGCGTGGACAAGGCCACACTGCGGCAGATGGCCAGCGAGCCGCAGGACGAGCACGTGGACTACGTGGAGAGCTACAGCGTCATCGAGAAGCTGTCCAAGAAGTTCCAGGAGGCCTTCTGCCGTACGCAGGGCTGGGGGCTGGGGGCGGCGGGCTGGGGGCGGGGCTGAGGCCAAGCGCGGGGTGGGGCCAGGCTGGAGGGCGGGGCCTGCGCGAGTTGGGGTGGAGCCTAGATCAGACTCAGGTCAGGCGAGTTACTAGGGAGTGCTTGATTCTGGGCCGGTCCCTGTCCTGCCTTTGAGGAGTGCAGAGAGAGGAGGATGCCAGGAGCCCTTTCACACAGTCAGTCCCCGCAGGGACCAAGCAAGTGCCTGAACCCAGCAAGAGTGTTTCTCGTCATGGGTTTTGGGCGACAAAAGTTTGTATGACACAGGAGGGTTCGAGGTACCTGGGAAGGTTGAGGGGGCAGAAGGGTCTGTGTGTGTGTGGGGGTTTCTTGGGGATGCGACCAGCCCAAAGGGGCGGGGTCTGGGGTGGGGCAGGGGCGGGGGGGCCAAGACTGTTCCCACTTGTGAATCGGGTCTAAGGAAAGTGCGTCCTTCGGTGTGAGGATTCGGTGAGATGGTGCAAGGTGTGGAGCGCAACATGTGGCGATTAGCAGCTTTACTGAGTGAGTTTCATGCGCTGTGTTCTTTACCGTGTGGCTTTCTAGTCACTCAGGACACAGGAGCGAACAAAACAGAGTGCAGGCCCCTCTTAGAGGGACTTTCATTTTGATCATCAACATTATGACCCTCTTCACAGATCTTGGCCCTGGTGCGGTGATTCCAGCCCTGGGCTGAGGGTCTGGGGCCTGGACCATCACACACCCCAGTTGAGGTGTCCATTTCCCTGTGTGTGAGGGCCCCGTTCTTTCCTGATCTGGAAGGAGCCTTGTGCTGAGATGTCCGAGGCCTTGTGATTGTGAGATCTGAGTCTCTCCTTGTCCCCCCAGTGGTGTCAGACCTGTGTGCCACAGGGGACCATGACTGTGAGCAGGTGTGCCTCAGTTCCCCGGGCTCCTACACCTGCGCCTGCCACGAGGGCTTCACCCTGAACAGTGATGGCAAGACCTGCAATGGTCAGTAGACAGGTGGACAAGCCCCGGGGCGGGGGCGGTGGGGAGGAGGGGCGGAACCTCGGCTTCTCCCCAGGAAACCCATGCAGGCCTCCCCCACTCTGCCTCTGGACTGGCCTTCCAAGCAGACAGGTGTTTGGTGTCTGCAGAGAGTCATCTCCTGACTCCAGTCCCGTTCTTTCTCACAGTGGGTTTAGTGTGGTGGAAAGAGTCACTTAGTCTTGAGCTCAGACCTTGGTTCCACTACGGCCGACCTGTGGGATGTAGCAGCTGTTTCCAATGCTGTACAAAGGGGCCAGCAACCCTGGCTTTGTGGAGGGGGTTCTGAGGATAAAGGGGCTGATCCCCAGCCTGGAGCTGGCATGTCCAGCCGGTGGCTGGGATAATGGCCTCGCCTCTCAGGCTTCATTGCTTTGCACCCTCCCCAGTCTGCAGTGGAGGCAGTGGCAGCTCGGCCACTGACCTGGTCTTCCTCATTGATGGCTCCAAGAGCGTGCGGCCAGAGAACTTTGAGCTGGTGAAGAAGTTCATCAACCAGATTGTGGACACCCTGGACGTGTCCGACAGGCTGGCCCAGGTGGGGCTGGTGCAGTACTCGAGCTCTGTGCGCCAGGAGTTCCCGCTGGGCCGCTTCCACACCAAGAAGGACATCAAGGCGGCCGTGCGGAACATGTCCTACATGGAGAAGGGCACCATGACCGGCGCTGCCCTCAAGTACCTCATCGACAACTCCTTCACTGTGTCCAGCGGGGCCAGGCCCGGCGCCCAGAAGGTGGGCATTGTCTTCACTGATGGCCGGAGCCAGGACTACATTAACGATGCTGCCAAGAAGGCCAAGGACCTCGGTAGGTGCTGCCCGCCTGGGCCCTGGACACCACTGATGGCCAGGGTTGCGCATGGGCACAGCTCAGCTGTAGTCTATCTTGTCTTCTGCTTAGTGTCCTGAACCCAGGTACATTTGGGCGAGGAAGGATTTGTTGGTCCAGCCCTCTCTTAATACTGATGGCAAAACTGAGGCCCTAGGGAAGCAAGTGATTTGTCTTGATGTCCTTTTGTAGGTGAAACTTGGAACTTTTCCAACTGAACATTTATTCCCCCAAACACACCAGATTCTGGAAGGCAAACCCCCTTTGGAACAAGCCTGACCCTCAGTTTTATCACCTTTGAATGGGGGAAATAGTAACCGCGGGTGGGAAAAAAACTCCCTCCTGCTCTTCTCCCAGGCACTGTGCCTGCAATTCCAGAAGCTGCCACTAGGAGGTGTCTGGTGCTGGCTGCTCAGGCTTTCCTAGGAGGCTCAGCCCTATGGCTGCCGTCCCAGCAGCTAACCTTTCTCTTCTTGTTTCTCTGGCAGGCTTTAAGATGTTTGCGGTGGGAGTGGGCAATGCTGTGGAGGACGAGCTGAGGGAAATCGCCTCGGAACCCGTGGCCGAGCACTACTTCTACACGGCTGACTTCAAGACCATCAACCAGATCGGCAAGAAGTTGCAGAAGAAGATCTGTGTGGGTGAGTGAGGAGGGAGGCAGGGCAGGGGCTCGGTGGGGAATGCAGCCATCCTGGAACAGAGTGGGGGAGGGGAGAGGCAGGGGCCGGGTAGTACCAATGGTTGGCAGCACCAGGAGGCGGGCTGGCCAGGTCAGCTCTTACACCATGAGATGTGGGTGCCGAACGCTCACTACATGAACCGTGCTGTTCTCCAGGTCGTCATTTGGTAGGAGTATAATCCCCATTTCATAGACAGGAAAGCCAAGGCCAGCGGTGGTGGGGGGGGGACAACTGTTAATTACCTGGGACCCAGGATGGAGCCCAGCTCTTCCCCTGGTCCTCCCTGGCTCTCCTGCCAGGTGGCACATCCGGGTAGAGTTTGGGCTCCAGAGCCAAGGGGACTTGTGCATCTGGCTCCGACACTGATGGCCACGGGCAAGTGGATTCCATGAAGCCCAGAGGGTGGGCTGAGGAGTCACACACAGGGGAGGCCGGGAACAGTGTCCTGAACACAGCAGGCGCTCAGCCCAGCTGCTGTAACTGCAGCTCCTCGCAGGCTCTGAGGGGCTGGAAAGCCGTCCAGGGCTGGCTCCCCTGGCTCCCAGCAGGGCTGTGGTGCTGCCACTCCTCCAGATCTCCCAGGCCCCTCAGTCCCTCAAGACTCCAGATGCAGGCCCCGAGCAAGGACTGTCCCCACCCTGGGCAACTACCACACGGCTCCGTTTTCTTCCCCTGTTTCTTGTCCCTTGCAGAGGAAGACCCCTGTGCCTGTGAGTCCATCGTGAGGTTCCAGGCCACAGTGGAGGGGCTGCTGCAGGCCCTGACCAGGAAGCATATCCTTTCCCAGGGGCTGCTGGGAGGCTGGGGCAAGAGCAGCAGGAGGGGCGGGGCGTGGTGGGGCAGGAGGGAGAAGTGGCCCTGGGGGGTTGGTTGGGGCAGGCTCTTCTTGGCCGGCTGCCTCTGAGGATTTGGTCAAAGAGGCTAGCACCTGCCTTGGCACCAGGCCTCTCAGATACAGAGGTTCCTAGAGGGTAAACTGAGGCAGAGGCCAGATTCTAGGGACAGGACCCAACAAGAGTCCAGGACAAATCCCAGAAAGCACGGTCCCTGTGGACTCCCCGCTTCACAGGCTCATGGTGACAACGTGAAGGCCAGCCCGCCCTCAGAGGTGGGGGTGGGTCCCCAGCAGCCCCCTGGCTCAGCCAGGTCGAGGTGGGCATCGTGCAGGGCTGAACCTATGTGGGCACAGCCCAGGGCGCACAGTGGGGCTGCGCTTTTGGAAAGCGCCATCATCAGCAGGACCAGTGGATACCAGTGGATACATTTTGACATGAGGGAGGACCCGTGTGTAGGGGTGAGAGAAAGCTCCGGAAGAGGGACCTCCCTGGGGGAAACAGGAAGTGGGGCCAGGGCCAGCGCCCCTGCTCTGGCCACGCTGCTCCTCTCCTTAACTCCGGGTGCACTGGAAGCCGTCAGTAAGCGGCTGACTGTCCTGGAGAACAGAGTCGTCTAAGGTCGCTGTCCCCACCCTGGCGCCTCCCTCTCCTCACCCCAAGCTTGGCTCAGAGAGTCCTGCTGTGTCCCTGCAGCCCAGTGTCGTCCAGCTTTGCCATTTTAGTGAGGGCGCCAGGAGGGGCCAGGTGCTGGGACAGCTCCGGGCCTCCCAGCCCTGCATCCCCTGGGTGGGGGCTGGAGGGGCATGTCCCCGTGTGCTTGTCAGGAGCGTTTGACGATGTTTGGGAGCCCGTGTGTGTGCCCCAGGGAGGGCGGGTGTGCATGGTGAGCCCTTCGGGAAGGAGTGCCAGAGAGACGGGTGTGCGTTTTCTTCTGATCCAAAGCTTAATATATTCCTGGATTTTGTAGTTGACCCTTTCTTGACTTGGAGTGCTGTGAATCTCTTCTGATGTCCGTAATCCCTGATGAAGAACAATTAAATGTGATTCGACTTAAGCACTGAACGGGGCAGAGATGGTGTGGTTATGGGGGGACCAGGAAGAAGGGCTGATGGCGGTTGTGGGACAGCAAAAGGGGTGGGAATAGTGATGACAAGCCACCTTGTGCTGTCCTGCCTTATTCAGTCACAGATTCACTTCCGTGGTCTCATCTCATCCACCCGGAGCCCCACCAGGACAGGCTGGAGTGCCCCCTTTCACAGATGAGGCTGAGCTGGGCGCCTGGGTGGTGCTCGGCAGGGGTCGGCTGCAGGGCCAGGCCTTGGGTCCAGTGCGGGACGTCGAGAGTTAGAGGGCTCTGGACAGGGCTGATCTGCTCACCGCTGCTCATTCGGTCATCAGAGCGTCCCGGCAGGTGTCTGAGACACAGTCTCTGTCCTTAAGGGACTCACAGGACGCTCCAGTCACCCTGGAGAAGAGTGGGGGTGCCTCCTCTGGTATCTGGGGGTCCGTGGGGGGCATACCTGTGAGCGAGATGAGGTCGGCCTGGGCACCCCCACCCTGTCCTCGCACCCCCATGGAGGCCTGTCTCCTGGTGCATCGGGCCTAGCCCTCCTCCGGCACAGACAGCAGCCCCCTGCAGGGACGCACAGGAAAGACTCCAGACCTCCCTCCCCGACCCCAGGGCTGCCAGCTCACCTGAGCTCCCAGCCTCCTCTCCTGGCTTCGCCTCTCAGAGTGGGAGCTTCCAGGACTTCCCGAAGCCACTCTTGTTCACGGGGGCAGTGTTGGTGTTACTGCTGCCTTCACCCTGAGAGCACGTAAAAGGGCCTTACAAGAAGCCCAGAGCCACCCAGAGTCCCTCCTCAGAGGCAGTTCAAGGAGGCAGAATAACAACACTAACAAAACTCAAGAGCCACGTGGGTACAGCAGCCTGACTGCACAGGGACCTGGCCGTGACGCCACCCGCACTTCACTCACAGCTCTGTCCCTGAGCCAGGCCCTGGGCAAGGTTTCCCTGCTGTCTCAAGAGGTTCCTGCCACAGTGACCCCCCTGTGGCTCAGGCCATGCTTCTTTTTTCTGAGCTCAGCTGCTTCTCTTCCTTCCCCACCCATGGGGCCGGGGGTAGCAGCCACGTCAATGCTGTGGAACTGGACATCCTGGCCTCAGCTGATTGGTCAGTGGGTGGAAACCTGACCCAAGTTGAGCCAATCAGCTTTTCTTTCCTGGAATGTGATCGTGGGAACCCTAGTCCCCTGGCTGGTGGTGCAGGAGGTGGGGAGATCTCCATCTCTTCCAGGTGCCCTAAAAGGCAAGAAAATTGGAGGCCTCCCTCCTCTGGAAAGAGAAAAATAACATTTTCTGGGCTGTCAATAGCATTCCAGTTCAAGAGTGTTTCAGCTAGTTATTCTGTGTAACAAACAGTTCCAAAGCATAGTGGCTCAGAACAACCACCAGTTATTGTTGGGTTGACTGGGCTCATTAGGATGGTTCTTCTGCTCTCAGTGCAGTTGTCTGGGTTTTGGCCAGGCTGAAATATCTCTCCCAGATCACTTACCTGCCTGGTGCCTTGGTGGAGAAGGCTGAAAGTCTGGGTCTTTCTTATTCTCTTTCCGTGTAGTCCTAGGACCTTACCTTCTCTATGTGGGCTCCCCAGCAGAGGAACTGGTCTTCGTACCTGTGGTGGCTCAGGGCTTTCATTTTATTGGTTACAACAGTTGCAGGTGGCCCACATTCAAAGGCTGGGGAGATAAACTCCACCTCTCCAAGGGAGGAGAGTGACAAAGAGTTTTCAGCCATCTTTGATCCACCACACAGGGTCAATCACTGGTCTCTTTCATTGGATCTGATGAACTTGACATTCGTTGGTCAGCTTTGTATCACTATAACAAAATGCTTTAGGAAACCACTTTGTAAAGAAAAAAAGGTTTATTTAGATCATAGTTTTGAGGGTTCAAGTCCAAGATGGGGCAGCCCAATTGGTTTGGGTTCTGGTGAAGGCAGCCCATCATGGTGGGAGCATGTGTAGAAGAGTCATGTTTCAAACTGGATAGGGGACAGACAGACAGACACCAGGTCCCACAATCCCCTTTTGGAGGCCATAACCCCAATGGCCCCAGGATCTCCCTCTGGGTCCTGCCTCCTGAAGCTTCCACCATCTCCCAATCGTGCCACTCTGGGGACCCAGCTTTTACCACATGGGCCTTTGGGACGCACCCCAGCCAATATCCAAACTGCAGCACCCAGGAAGCCTGCTTGGTGGGGCTGAACTTGGCCACACGAGGGCCTGGCTGGACTGTCCTCTGCACCTCCATGACCTTGCAGCCATGTGGTGGCCTTGGTGTCCACATTCTGATCCTTCAGTTCTGGGAGGTGGTCAGTCTGTCCTCAGTTCCAGCCCTGAACCGCTCTGCTTGGAGACTTGGCGGTGTCACTGCTCGGCTGGGGACTGCCCAGTGGGCACCATGGCTCTCTGCAGGTCCACGCCCTGAGCATGGAGCTCGGGGGGCCAGCTTCTCCTGGAGGCGAGGATGAGGGCAGCCCCACCTGTGCCAGGGCTCGGGCCGCGGGTCACAAGTGTGCCAGCCCCAGGACACGCTGTCTCCATCGAAGGACCGTCGCAGCCCAGCTATGCCAGGCGCTGTCCTAGGCACGAGGGAGGGGGGTGTCTTCTCGCAGGGACCCCCAGCCTCACTGCACTCTGATCCTCCCCATGGGCCTTGCTCCCCTTGTTAGGTGGGGAGCTGAGGGAGAAAGGGGAGAAGGTTCCAGAAGGCGTGCGGTGCCTTCTCAAGGATCCCAAGTGTAGAAGCGCCAGGAGCACCCGCTGGGTCTGGGGAGGGCCTGGCTCTGAGGTCCCAGGAGGCTCCCCTGAGAGGTGGTGGCCCAAGGGTCAGGCGCCCTCTCTGGAGTCCCACAGCTCTGGGTGTGAACCCCCACAGCACCCAGGACGGGGACAGACTCCTTCACCCTCTGCCCCCGGTGTCCCTGGCAGTGAGCTCACAGAGGGACGGTGCTAGGGGCTTCTGGGAAGCCGGGGCTTGGCCTCAGTGTGGTCAGTCCTGCCGGCTCCCTGGGGGACACAGCATGGGTGGCTGCAGGAAGAGGGCTGGAGGCCCCCTTGGTGCTGAGCCAAGCTCTCGGGGACACATCTGGACCACGGGGCCGAGGAGGGAGGCAGGGCCGGGGTGGCCGGGCTGCGCAGCTCTGGGGCTCCTTCTCCACGTGTGGGCTCAGTCCTGCAGGCGCCCAGGATTCATGAAGCATTGCCAAAGGCCGAGCACACGCCAGGCGCCGGGGTAAATTAGGAAATGCCCCATGGTCTGTTTATGATGCTGTGGTCCCAGGGAGAAGGCAGACATCGCAGGGAGAATCTCTCCAGAACTGCGGAGGGAGAGCCGGAGGGGCAGGAGCCTGTGGTGGAGGGTCTGCGGTGCCTCGGAAGGTCCTGGGAGGGGTGCATTAAGTGGACCTGGAGGGGAAGGGGGCGCAGGAAGAGTGTGCCGAGTGGGGAAGGAGCAGCAGGTGCCAGGGTCCTGAGGCAGGAATGTGTGCAGCCGTCCCAGGGCCTGGATGCAGCTCCATGCGGCCGGGAACAGCCAGAAACAGGAGGAGGCCAAGACCAGATGGCGCTGGGGCAGACGGGCTGGCTTCAGCCTTTTAACAAACTCTGGGTTTGATTCACAGGATGGCACCAGGCCCTTGAGGGTTTCAGGTGAGGAGGTGACACTGATCTTCCCAACGCACGTGGCCTGGAGGGGTTTCCCCCAGAGGCCAGGTGGGTGTGAGGCTGGCTGAAGGGGCCACAGCTGGACCAGGCGGGGACCCCGCCTCACATCTCTGGCTGCTGCCGTGACTTGGAGGCTGGCCCTGCTGGGTCACCTGCAGGCTGTCAGGACCTGTGTGGGGGGGGCACAGCGAGGAGAGCTGGGAAGCTGCTCGTGAGCGGTGGTCCCCAGGTCTCCGGGGGCCTCCAGAGGGACATCAGTGTCCCCCCTTTTGCAAATGATGGGACTTGTCCAAGGACGGGCAGGGTCGGGTTCCAGGGCTGACCCAGCGCTCAGGCCTTCCTGTCAGCACGTGGGAATGGGCTTGGCCACCTGTGACAGTGACACACAGTGAGCTCAGCAGATCTGGGGGCCTTCCTTCGCCCCATCTTCCTGGGTGGTCAGGAGGCCTGCAGGGCGAGGGCGGCCGAGGTCCTGGAGGACACTCTAGCCTGCAGCTGGGGCCAGTGCCCAGGGGAGAGGCACTGGGGGGGGCTGTGGGCAGGGAGTGGGGACCCCATCCTGCAGGCCGGGAGACAGGCCGCAGGGGACGCTGAGCAGAGCCCAGAGCCAGGGAGGGCCCACACAGGAGGGCTGGAGAGGCCACGGCTCAGAGCCTCCCCTGCTGGCCTCCGCTGCTGGTCAAGCCCTGCTGAGGCCTGTCCAGGCTGAGCTGAGGCGGCTGGGAACCTGGGGCTGCTGGACTGAGCCCAGGATTCTTCGCAAGAGCCGCAAACGGGCAGAGGATGCGGTCAGAGGGGGCCGCGGGCGGTTCCTTCATCTCTGGAGGAATTCCATGGGTGAGAAGCAGGGGCCAGCGGAGTAGTCAAGAGGTCACAGGGACACTAGGAACCTGGATCAGGGTGACAGAAACTCTACAGCAACCAGCTTAAGCATAAGAAAGAAACCAGGGGTCTGGTGTCTGAGGGTCCTTGGTCTCTCATCTGGCTCCGTCCCCACCAGGTGGCCTCACGCCCACGCGGGTCTCTCCCAAGACGCCCCCGAGTGCCCTCTTTGAGCTCCTGGAGCCCCAGGTCCACAGGACTCAGCCTCATTGTCTTGAACTGAGCCTGTGTCTGGCCTTGAGCTATCACCGCGGCCCCGGGGGACACAGGGCTGTGACTGCCAGGCCCCGGCCTCTGCTCGTGCCTAATGTGTGTTGGGGGGACCAGCCACACAAGACCTGGGACTGAGATGGCTGAGCAGG